TCGTCTCACACCGTTGGTACAGCCTTGCATTGAGAATACTTTTGTACTTGTGAGCACTGAAGCCGATTTCACCTTTGATCCAGATCACCTGCCAACAAGAAACGTTCCAACACCATACCAACATCATCTGATACCACACATCTCATACATGGCAAGTTCCACTTTTGTGGAAGGCTCCAGTTTTACAGTGAAATGTGCAGTATCAGATCATGTTTGTAGGGTGTTGTAACTTGTTCTGTTGGCAGGAGATCCCAACTCCAAATAATGAATGCCCAACGAACAGTATGAAGTTGTAATCAGTGATTTACAACATAACAAGCTCCAAGCAATGTTTTAAAAATCCAAGTTTCGGTCATTTTGTCATTTTGATTGTCAAAATACACAACAGTAAAATCATTGAATATTTTAATAGCAAAAAGAATAGTCAAAGGAGATAAAAAGAGAGTTCTAGGTAGGCATATGGACATTATGCATTCAAGTCGCATACAATGTAAACAAATTACATTAAGAACTTCCTCCCCAAACCAGGGTATTTCAAGAGTAAGGCTGCATTTGGCATTCCTTATTTTTTAAGGACTTATCTCCTTATTGCTGTTAAAAATTTAGTGTCATAGGGGCATTTTAACTTCAAAAAGGAGATAAGTCCTTAAAATAAAGAATGCCAAATGCAGCCTAAATGCTTAACTTAAAAATGATCAACGCCTATTGATGCAATTGCTCCAAAATACGTTTCCTGATTTAATGATAACTTGGATTTTAAAGAATGGGTGGATCCGACCTTGCAAAGTAGAATTTGTAGAAAACTACTAAACCAGAGTCTAAACATGGTCCTAGAGAATGAGATCCACATCTGAGACGGAATGGCAACTACAATAAGAGAGTCCATTATCATCTTGATGCAGTTGAGGTGGTACGAACCAACTGAACTGACTCCCTTTGTGAACTGTAACTATAACCACATGCAAATGAAGAATGGACAGGGCTGGGAAAGGGAATGCAATAAATAGAAACTTCAAGGATGCAGTGAGACCTACCATTAAAGAATGATGGGACTCCAATGGGGCTAACCTAGCTCATAAATATCTAGTCTAAATCCTTGCCACAGATCTGGGTTGAGACTTGAGAGTAGAGTTTCTCCATACAAGCCTTCTGCCCCTTTCTCAATGAACCCAGGCAATGCTTGAGAACATGTGTCATGAAAACAGAGTTCTTGGATTCTCCTAAATGATAAAGTTGTGCCATTGTAGGATGTTGTTTAAATCTAATTTCACCAGTAGAAGATGGGCTAACTGATTCAGAAAACAGATAAGGATGAAGAAATGCATATACGTTTTATAACTCATTATGAGAAGTTGGAAAAGGGGGAGAATTTTGATCATTCTAACATATACATCTTGATCATTCTGACATATACATTTTATAACTCGTTGATAGAGAGGATCATTGAGAATAGAAGCTCTATATGGTCAGAAAAGGACCATCTTATAAATTGATTCTTGATAGAACATATACATCTTTATATCTTGACTGTGCAGTGCCTTGGTGTATATGGGTTCTAACCTCTTAATCTTCTTGTCACTATTAATGATATGCTTCCTTACCTTATTCAGAAATGAAAGGAATCTCGGCATAGTTAGAGATTTCTGACACCGGAATAATGTCTGAACATTCAAGAAAGTTGCTCCATACATTGAGTTAGTGTTCTTCCTATTTGAATTAACAGAATGGCAGGCAAAGAGCGAGTTGCATACAACTGAATGAACTGAAAGAATATGACCAAATCAACAAATAAGAACCAATATTTGGAATGAAGGAAATGCATGTTGAAATAGTGCCATGACATGAAACCACTTTCAAGTCCATGAAGATGGATCCTTTGTGTTTGTGGGGATAACTTGTTTAAAATCCATCACAAAGTACATTGTGTGTGAAAGATCTTTGCAGAAATTGAAGAAATTGAAGAAAATACAAGGAAGATCTTTGCAGTAAGTAATTGCCATTCTTAGATTATTATATTCATGCTTTTCCAGGAGAATAGAAAATCATGAAGTGAGTTTAAAGAGCTAATGCTTGTCCAACAGTGAATCATACAACTTGCTTGATCAATTGTATCAAAGTGAATCCAAAGATCACTAGCGAGGTGAAAAAGGCAGCAACAGGTCATGAGAAATGAAATTTGATAATAACAAAAAAAATGCAGACAACTGCTCAATAATAGCAGGTATCAAAGATAAAATCACCATATGGATGATAAAGTGGCATTTTGCTACAATGCAGTTAATTTCAGTAAGCTAATGGCAAGAATAGGGTCAGATGACAGTTTTTGACTAATGCTTTGGGAACCCACTCTATGGTACAGCTTACCAACAAAACAGAACCTGGTAACATACTGTTCTAAGATGCATGTGATTCTCGATGTTGGCAAGGGTGATACAACTGGATATTTGGTGAAATCCTTTGAAAGGAAAGAAAGAGATCACTTTCTTCATTTCTTTGTATCCTTCCATGGACATCATCACGAGAAAACAGTACCAACCACAAAAATCTAAGTTCGGATACTCCACCAAATAATTTGCAGTGGCTTGGTAAGTGCAAGAAAAAATGGCTTCCCTGTGTTTTAAAAAGAAACAGCAGTTCCTGCTATATTATGAGTAATTAAGCATTGTCAAAATACTAAGCTCTGTGCCAAAAAGATCTGTTGGAGACCACTAAAAAACAGAATAACATCGAATCAGCCTCATCATGGCAGTCGTACACCAGACATTGTAATACGATCCTTTAGGTTAAACAATAAAAACACAATCTCGGTTAAATATAGTTAAACCATGACAGAAATGATTCTATACACAGCTAAAGACAAGATAGCACTAGATAATGAGATCGGATTGGATGAACACATTGGCTGCAGAACAAATGATAACACCCCACACCAGTCTTAAAATACATGGGGCCTGCAGCGGTGGCAATATCATTGGTTCCACAGCCTGTCATACAGCCATCGTGTTAAGCTAATCCAAGTTCCTAGACAATTTCCAAAGCTTAACCATAGTATTGTAAAGCACAACAAATTCTCAGTTTAATTAAGCCTTGTCCCAATTATATGGGGTTGGCTACATGAATGCTGCAAGGCTGGGTAAACTATTTTACAGTTAACTTCTGGCAATAGGTGAACTGGTTTTTTTTTTTTTTTTTTTTTGATAACCAGGAATTTATTCATTTCTTGTAAACAAAGTGTACCAGAAATTTACAAACAGTGGAGAGAATGCCAGCCATCTCTCCCCCTTATATATATATATATCACTTCTAAGCCTATGGTTAATCATTTTTTTTAACATTTCATTCCTATAAACCCATAAAGTGAAGAACTAATCATGTTTGTGGGGTGTGTTTTATAGGAAAAGAGCAGTTTTTCAGTACCAAGCAAAGTTCAAACTGCAGATTAAGCCAAACTCCATTTTTAGAAATCCAACTAGAACTTTCTTTACCTGATCTTGAACAATACCTTTGGGGATGTGTGTTATACCTCCAAGAGATGGGATGAAGAATGCAATTCAAGAAAAGCAAAAGCAAGAAAAAAGAGGCAAATGACCTGGAATATGGGAGAGATGGAGCATGTTAATGAGGAAGATGGATGTAAAACATCATTGTGGATGTGGAGAGAGAACCTATATTGTCAGATTCAGACCAGACCAGACCAGACGTTGGACCAATAAGAACTAGGAACTAGCAGCCAAAATGTTTTTTAGGCTACCTGGTTCTTAAAAATGTTGACTAGGTCAAAATTACCTCAAATACATGTGTAAATACCTCTTATAACCCATAATATTTATTCTTTTGGGTTTTTTACTGATAAAAATTAGATTTAAAAGATAGTCTGGAATTATTTGCTACTTTTTAATTTTATTTCCTCTTACTTTTTTATTTGAGTAAGCCGATCAGAATGGTCAAACTAGTCAGTCAGACTGTTAAAACTGTGACTCAGTGACTGGTACAATTTAAAGTCTTCTCTGAGTCTGACAATATTGGAGAGAACATAGGAAAAGTGCATAACTTCAGTCTCTTGACAGGGTTTAATTTAGTTAGAAGTACTACATGTGGGATTATAGAGCAATGGCTACATGAATTGAATCCGCACCACCAATACACCCTGGTGTGAAGGGAAAAGTGCTTATCATCTTCATCTTTTTTTTTTTTTTTTGATAGATTGCTTATCATCTTCATCTTTTTTTTTTTTTTTTGATAGATTGCTTATCATCTTCATCTTTTTTTTTTGATGGATCACTTATCATCTTCATCTTTGCAACCTAGATCTATAGCACGTCCAAGAGACCCTATCAAGTATCAGCCAAGTTCTTGTGTCTTGGTTTAGGACCCAAGTGGAACAAGTGAAATATGTCCTATATATGTACCACTATAAATTCCTGTCACTTTTAATTTATCCAAATGTGGACCTCTGAATTGTTCATAATTCGTAAATATTAGTAGATCTTGGAGAGGGATATAAGATCAACATTCCAATGTTACTCTTCATCCAAGATTCTYACCAAATAACAATCACCCTAATAACAAAATCAATTTAAGTGCCAGTATTTTGGAGATTCAATGCCACCTTAATAATGCAAAATCAGTTTGTGGATAATATTTTGATAAATCAGTTTGTGGATAATTAACAATTTGGAAAGAATTGATGATCACCATTGCCCTTTTGGATTTTGATATTCTTATTGATTTTTTTCGTTTGTTTCTTGATTGATAACAGTACTCATGTTGTCTTGCAGAACCAAGTATTCATGTTGTCCTGCAGAAGTAAATATTGCATTCTCAATTGATGGTCCATGAAACCCAATCTTGTTGGGGGAATAGGGGGTGTGTCTGTTTGGTTTTCCTTTTCCTTTTCTTTTTTCTTGGTTTTTCTCAGTATAAATTACTAAGTGTGACTCACAAATTAAATTAATATGTCAAAGAATAATGTGCATCTCATGGAATATAAAACCTGAAAATACAACTCAAATTCAAAATATTTAATGCTTTAATGACAAAACAGGTCAATAGCTTGCTCTATTGATACTTAAATTATCAAATGTATGATACAGAACTTAAAAGTCAAAAAACAGTAAAATCATCTAATGGCGCTTACATTTGTAATGGAACAACATAAAGATTCAGAATTCCCACTAGCATCTCTTCAGAAGTGTCATTGTTGGACTTATATCCAACCATTATTCACTTAACCTTGATTCCAATCACAAATCAAAGTCAGAACCTTCTTTATATTGCTTTCTCCTTTCTATGCTAGTATCACTCCCAATCCTCATCTTGCAACTGGTCATCGGTTTCTTCCTTAGGTGGCCTAACCACCAAAACCACACTCCCCAAACACTCCTTCACCCCTAACTTTTTCAAATTTGTCCCTCTCTCCACCTTTAAACCATCACTACCACCTTCTTTAGAACCAACCAAATAAAACCCACCTTCAGCCACCACCTCCCTTGTCCTTCTGTCGGCCACCACCAGAATGGCCTCTTCCTTGTACCACCTATTTACCTTCCAAGGCAGGACCCTAGCATCCGGAAACGCAACCACCACTCCTCTTCCCAACCCCACCACAGGCTCCCAACCCGGCAACACCACCCACCTCCTCCATCCTTTCTCCGCAACCACAACTCCGAACTCCCCTTCGCTCCTACACTCTCCAGGCGCTTCCTCCACCGCTCTCGCCCCTTCTGTTGCTCCACAGACCGGCAATACCACCACAGACGTTGCCTCCGCAACCTCTCCGATCTTCATCCTCACCACCGGAACCCTAATTCCAACCCCAATTTCCCCATCTGTCCCTTCTTCCCGACCCGATTTTCCTTCCAATTCATCTAAAATTTTCGCTTTCGCCTTCTCAGATTCCACTACCTCCAGTGCACGTTCCAATGCAGATGTCCGCTGTTCCGACGGATTTCGGTGCTCTCTGCTTTGCCTATAATACATAAAAGAGAGGCAATCACCGGGGAGAGAGTAAGTAAAGCTGTCCCACCTTTCATCCCCGCGTCGGCGTGGGAAATCCTTCATAGCCCGGGCGAGCTCCTGGGCTCCACGGGGGTCGAGGCGATTAAGGACGATGTAACGGGCAGCAGCAGCGCGTTGAGCGGCACTAAGGAGGCGAATCTCATAGAGGAGCTCAGCACCGCCGGTATCGAAGAAGGAGAGCGTTTCCGGCTCGATCTTGGATTGAACAAGGGAATCGCGGACTTGGGCAGCAACGACAAGCCGGTTCTGCTCAACACCGGAGATGCCGGTGGCCTCTTCGATGGAGGACGGTGAGAAGCCTTCTTGGGAGAGGGAAGGGATGAGTGGGGCGTACTCAAACCAGAGGCCTAAGCGATTTTGAAGAATTTCGAGGCGGCCATTGGTATCGAGGGAGCGGAACTGAGAGGGGAGAGGGGAGGGAGGTGGGCGAAAAGGTTGGTAGACTTGGTTCGAAGGGGTGGAGCTGCCAGTGGAAGTAGCAGAGGCTGAGATGGTGGTGGGTTTGAAGAGGGGTTTGGGAAGGAGGGTGCATGACTTAAGCAGGCGGAGATGGGGATGTGGGTTGAGAAATGGAGAGGGTTGGAACTTGGCTTCGAAGAGGGAGAGTGGTTTAGGTGGGTTTAGGAAGAGCATGATATTGGACTGTGGTCTGGTGTAGACTGTTGATGGCGTGCAAGTTGCGACTGAGAACTGTGAAGGCGCAGATCAGCAGATGGTGGAGTCGGGTATAAAGAGTGGCAGGAGAGCCTTATCTGTTAGTTTTTATTTTTGGAAAAGTCCATCAAACCTCTTTGTGAGTTGTGACTCGTTCTGCTATGTTACCCGAAAGGTACGACTAGAATGTTTGGCTAAAGTCTTAGGCAGGTTACCTTCTGTTTCGGTACCATGGATTTTTTTTTTCCTTTTTTCGGTGGCCTGGAAAGTAAAAATCAGAAATTGTCTTAATATTAAACGATAGAATTGGATATTTTTATGTATTGGTTTCGGCTTAGATTGAATACTTATTATTATTGTTATTATTATTATTATTACGATTAGGATGTTCTCCTCTTTCGCCACGTGTTATTTTATATGTACTRTTTGGGTGTTTTTGTGTTTAATTAGCCAATTTTGTTATATACGTGTAAAACAAAGTCTTTGTCCACAACACGTTACCTGTCCGAGTGAAAGTTGCTTATAAAATAGAGCAAGTCTGAGCATGTCCCTGTGGCATTTCATGCAAACAGAGTATATACAACATCTCTTTGCACGAAAGTTACGTATCCGAATGACACGATACGTGTCCATGTGGCATTTCTTTCTTCTTTCTCTTCACTCTCTGTCTTCCCACTACTCGCCTCTTTTTATCTCACTCTCTCTTCTTTCTCTTTTTCCTGTAGTGTTTCTTTCTCTCTCATCTCTTTCTCTCTTTCTCCTCTCTCGTCTGTCTTCTCTCTCGTCTCGTCTCGCCTCTCTCGCCATGGATTCTTGGGAGGGGAGCTAAATATTGGGCTTCAAATCTGTGACAATTTTGTTAGACGGTTTGGGGTTTTCTGTGTTGGAGAAAGTCTGCTTATTTAAGATTCATTTTATAGAATTTATTGGCTTTTTTTTTATCGCTCTGTTTAGGGTTTTTGATTAATCTGGGAAGTGAATCTTTTGGTTTTCAGTATATTGGTTGGGGCATTACTGATTTACTTCTGAATAATGTGCATGCTAAATTAATCATCATTCCAGTATTTGTGAAACATTATGCTTTTCAACCATGGCAGCATTATGTTTAGAGACATGGTCTCCTTTTGGTGATTCAATAATTGTATTTTATCATTAGCATTTAGTTGTCTTGAAGTTGTTATAGTCATGGAATAGGAGAGGATAATTAATGGTGAATTTAACCTTCTTTTTAGAATACACCAATCTTGAAAGGGAGTCGCAGAATACAAGGACCTGTAGATGATGCAGAACATGACAATCAGAAGAATTCGGTGAGACATCATTGACCTTAACATGGCAATTTCAAGTTTGGATAATCTCATCTATTTGTTTATGTTTTAGCATCGTCAGTTGCACCCAAATGGCATCATGCAACATTTCATTTTAATTGTACTTCATTTCATGTCGGCATCATTTTAATTCCAGTGTTTGGTTCCTGAGAACACTTGTTATTTGTATTTTTTCTATAAAAATTGTTTGTTTGTTTGTTTATGGGTGTGCAAGATATGTTATATTGAATTCCTTAGGAAAATTGTAGATCTATTTAGGGAATCCATTAATTTCCCCCAGCAGAGATTAATACATTGGCTCCAGTAAACTTTTGGGAACTTTCAACTACTTTGTTAGCACTGCGTGTGTTATGGTTGGTTGGTGATTCTTAATACTTGAAGGGCACATATTATTTACTCTCTGTAGTTATGAGATGTTAGTTGCCAACATTCAAAGATAGTAATCTTAAGAAGGGACCAAACCTGTCATGGGTATTAATGGCCCCAAGAAAGTTCTACACATTATTTAGAAATATAAGTTTTCCATGCCGCCATGCCTTCCTACTACCACTAGATTTGAATCACTGGTTTTGGCATTAAATTTTAGAATTTTGAGAAAATACTTGAAAATAAAAAATAAAGAATTATAGTCCAACGATGAAGAGATTTCACCTAACCGGTACATCCATATCAAAAAAGAAGATACATCATAAGACAATTGTAGTTCTAGAGGGGTTTTTAGTTATTACAATTGATACTTATAAAAAAAATTAGCTATTATTGTCGATTATTTCATCCTTTCTGAAGTTATGGTTAGAAAAGAAAAATGGGGAATGGGTGACTTTTTATATTCATGGTTTCTTGAAAAAGTAGTAGAAACTATAGTTGTGAATACAAGATCTTGGGCAAAGAATTAAAAAAAAAATAAAATAAAACAATTTGGGGGGTAGGGTGGAGAAATATCCAATTAGATTTTTGGGACCTTGGGTGCAAACCCACAATTTTTGCCTTATTGATATCAAGTAATTGGAAAATGTCAGAAATGGTTAGCAATGTGGAAGAGGAAGTACATCTCTAAACACTAAATGAGGAAGACTTATGCTTGGGCAAATCTCCTGGTTTACTATCTTTTAGTGTTCCAGAATCCTAATAAGTTGAGAGGCCATATTGAACAACTTCATCGGAAATTTTTTATGGGATGGAGGAGAAAAAGAGACCTTATTAGGATTGGATATCTATGTGCAAGGAGCAATCAAACCTTTTGACATCCATTATCTGCAAGAAATTCAGGATGAACACAAACAAGTGGGACAGTAACATCAACTCACACCATTTTTGCAACTACAGTTTGAGCTCCTCTTTCCCATGTGTATTTCAGTTCACCTTGCATAAGGATGCTATAATTTTTGGCTCCTATTAAATGATGACAATGGTTTGGACTGACATTTAAACTTAAACATCTTCCTACGAATTCCAAGATAGAGGAATTCGTCTCTCTTATCAACAGTCCTAGGGATGTTTTTATTCTCCATCTACCCTTGATACTAGAAATTGGTTGCCCCAAACCCAATCATTAGGTCTCTTGCCACTAAATATTTTCCCTGTAGGGCCGGACTTTGATTTTTAACCCCGATTAGCATGTATTGCTTGAAAAAAAAAACTGTCTTTCTTTTGTTCTACCTAGAGTATGCTTCTCTTTATGGTTGGCAACCCCAGGAAAGATTAGCACTTTTGATTCAGTCCTAAAAAAGAAGGATGCCCATCCTATGGTCAATTTGGGAAGATAGAAAATAGGTTCTACCTAGGGCAAGAAAAATCCAAGGAAGCACTTATGGAGGTTGTCACCATCAAGGTTATGCCAGTGAATTTTGTATGATCAATTACAATCAATTTCTTAGAATTTTGTATGATCCATTGGTGTAATTGAATCATTTTTGTGAAAATGTGAACTCCGACAATGAGAATGATAGATCTCGTGACTGTTAAGTAGGTAATTGTCATTTGTCAATGTCACCGATATTCTTGAGATTATTTTTGTTTCTTTTTTTTTTAACCGGTGTTACGAGTGTTTCGAATTTAAAGTTACGCAGAACATTCATGAGTAATTATTTTCCTATGAATTATGTAGGAATTTTATATGTCTAATCTGCAATGCATGGGCAGCTGGACTTCTAGTATGAATCAACATGGTTAATACCGCTCGGGAGAAATTGGCCTGCAAGTGTGCAATAGATTAAAAAAGCTCAACCATGTTGGTAAGCTTTACTCTGTTTATATTTGTCCTAACTCTCCCCTCCTCTTCATTTTCCCCTTTGATTGTCATTACTGGCTATCCGATGTGTCTATATTAGGGTGTTGTTTTGCTTTCATTTTTATTTTTATTTTTTGGTTGATTACAATTCACCGCATTCTTATATAAGTGCTATCTAGTATCATGATTAATGTAGTAAGCTTATTTATTTATTTTTAACAAACTACACACATCTTTTAAGATTGGATGAATGAAACATGATAGGTTTATTTTGGCCGATGCTTTTTCACTGATGAAGAACCACCACCAAGGCAAAAGATATTTTTTAGTTTCGCTGATCACAAGAGATATCTCTTAGTTTCGTTGATCATAAGAGATATCTCTTAGTCTCCAATTAAGTTTACCCTAATTTCTACTCCTTTATTATTTAATCCATATTGCATATATTCTGCTTCTTTTCTGGTTATTTAAAAGCCCTTTGTCTCTAAGGAATTTATCCATAATCATATATAATTTTATGTTGTGAATTGTAATTATTATTTGTGAAAATTATTAAATTAACAAACATTTGTGATAATTATTTTAATTTACCACACTTATCATTAATTTATTGCAATGATAAAAAATGTTGATAAATAAAAAATAATAAGAGTAATTTTTGAAATATTTTTTTGTTGCTTTTGTAATTTGATAATTATGGAAATTCCAATATTATAGTAATTTTGTTATTCATGAATTATTTTAAAATTTTCAAAATTCTGTAAAATTTACAACAACAATTATCATTGTATTATTTGTAATAACTAACAGTAAATTATTTTTAGTTATGGGTGAATTATTAGAAACTATTGAAATTATAAGAATTATTTGTTTCAAAATTAGTTTTTACCAATTCCATATAAGTTAATCTCATTAAAAAATATAAATAATAATATAAAAATGTGGATCCCTTCACCGGAAATGTGAAATATTTAGATACCCTGGACATTGGGGCATCACCTTGGCTTTTTAGTCTAATTCTGACATGGTTCCAGGCATTGATCTGCTCGGTTGTGCTGTTGATTGTTGTAGTTGTTCTTGTTTTTTAACTAATGGTGCTTCAGTTTCACCAATGCTTCTCACCTTTGTATTATCCCAGTTCCAAAAGAAGGCCCCTTCATTTGAAATTAGAACTTTAACCAAGAAGATGATAGAGTAATGGAAAGCTGAAGTTTGGTGTTTTCCTTTGTTGCATGTTGCATGCTGCTGGATCAATTCAAGTAGAGATGCATTCAGGGAATCAATGTTAGCAAAATAAATTGGATATAAATTTTAAATTATTTTAAGTAACTTTTTTTTCTAAGATACTTTCACTAAAAAAATAACTTCTCAACTTCTCTTTTTTCTATACAATAATTTCATTTCTCCAAGTCCCTGCAATGCAGGGGCCCCTCTGCTAGTTATTATTATTATTAGATCCTTATGGGATGTATTAAAATGGAGTATATTGTTAGTCCTTTTGTGAGATAGATAAGTGAGCAAATTTTTAAAAAATCCCCACATTTAGTCCTATAAAGTATAGTCAATTTCTCCCCTTTATGAATAATTAATTTATGGAAAAAATTTCGGATAGGTACTCTGTACTTTAGGCCGAGTGCCAATTTAGCATCTGAATTTTAAAATACAACAATGTAGTATCCAAACTTTCATTTTACGATAATTTAGTACTTGGCATTAACTCACCATCAATTAGAAGACGAAAAAGACCTAAATACCCCTCAGCTATTTTGAATAATACATGAATTCTTGATTGAAATTACGAAAATGACCCCATTAGCTATTTTGACCAATGCAAGTGGAAACCACTATTCACACTTGCAGTTACTGAGATTCCAAGAACCAGCTCCTTCACTAGGGCTGTTCACGGGTTGGGTTGGGTCGGTTTACTAGTGTTTTTTCAACTGACCCGACCTGGTCGGGTTACCTATAAATCAAACCGAAACCGACCCTTTATTAAGTAAAACTGACCTGTTCAGCTTGAGTCGATTTGGGTCGGTTTGTGTTTCAACCAACTCCAAGCTTGCACAATGCACATGAAGTCAAAGTGCTAATATTATATATAATATTTCAAAATATATTTTTTGAAAATATATATTTAAAACCAAAACATATATGAATATATCAAAATATATATTTTCTAATTTTTGGAAATATATATTTCAGAAATATATATCTGATATATTTTAGAATATATATTTTTTCAGATATATATTTATTATTTAAAACTAAAATAGCTATATTTAAAAGATATTTTTTCACATAACTTGGTTTAGTTCGGTTTAGTTTCAGTTTTCACATATGAAAACCAAAACTGAACTGAACTATTGGTTTGTTTATCTTTCCAACCCGAAACCGACTGGTAGTAAAGAAAAACTGGCCAACTCGGATTGGGTCGGGCTGGGTTGATCGGTTTGGATTTATTTGTGAACAGCCCTATCCCTCACGCCAGTGATGTCAAGCGAATGCAAGCCAGAAAAATTGAAATCAACGCTCAAACACAATGCCAAAAAAAGTTGAAATCGAAGAATCCAGTGCCATTGCCGGAGAAGACGAAAAAAACTAGAAAAAGTCAAATAAACCAGAAAAAGATCAATGAAGAACGCTAGAAAAATATCAGAAAAAGAAGAGGAAGAGAGGAGAAGTAAAAACCGAAAAGATTGTATATTTTCGTACTGGTTTGTTTTTTAAATTATATTTTTTTATTGATTATTTAGAAGTGAAAACATATTTGTTTAATCGTCTTCAACGTCTGGTCTTCAGTGGATTCCGATCTTTGGACATCACGCCTTGCTGCTGCCAAACACCAATATGCGTTGCAGCGCCATCAGAACTCTCACTTAGGTAGGCATCCTGATTTCGTTTTGATCATTAAATGTATGATTTTTTTGGTTTTCAATTTGTTATTTTCTATAAGAAAACGAATTTTCTTCCATGATGATGGCATGGATGCTAGATGGGTTGTGCATCGACGACTTTGAGGTTGAAGAGGATGTTCGTCCTGATTTCCCCTGCCCGTTTTGTTATGAAGATTACGATATTACTTTTCCATGTTCGCATATCGAAGACGAGCATCCTTTTGAATCGAAAGTCACTGTGTAAGTACTGGTTCATTTTATTCATTTGATTTGATAATTTCATTCATTCATTGTTTTGATTTTTCATTGATGTTCCGGAACGAAAGAATTTCGGGCATTGGTTATTGATATGTCTTTGTTACAGAGTTACTATTCTTTTGAAACGAGGTCCTTGTAAAAGAACACATATAGGGACTACAACCATATTTTTTCTTTATTTCGGCTCTGGTTCATTGATACCTCTTAAAGTCTTAACCAAACAAAAAAACAAAAAAAGAAAAAAAAACTAGAAAAAATCACTTTTATTCCATATATTTTTATCGGATGAGAAAAGAAACCTTAGTCGGCCTGTACCTTTATCTATCCTAAATGTGATATTGCAAAGCGCATTTGGTTGGGGTTAATGTACATAGTTTCTTTCAAGAAGATGTACTGGAGAATGTGCCTTCCCGTGCATCAGGCTAGGCATTTGGATTCAGGGAAACTCTGGACTCTGGAGCATCCTTAGGACCTTTCACCTTTCTAAGGTTCTCTGTTTTTTATTGGAGGGGAAGGCCAGCCCATACATGGGGAGAGGATGTTCTCTGTAACATTATTTATTTATGTAGATTATAAGATGACTTGTTTCCAATCTGTTGTGTAGAAACTCCGCTTTTCTGTTTGAGATTTTGAGTTTCTGGTTTGTTTCGGTCTTATTTATATTGCATGTAATTGATATTTTAGGAGAGTGAGTGGGTTTTAGGGCACTAACCAACTTAATAGCTTAGATGCGCATGAGGCGATCAAAGAGGTAAATACCCTTAATGAGACAAAATATGTACCCTTTTCTGCTTTTTGTTTTCCTCTTAATTTCATTGTAGGGTTAGAATTCTACTTTTCATGAGTGTAGCCATTTTCCTACACTGTGCACAGGCCAACCAATGGGATCTTTGACCACAGTACCTTTGACACGACGTATTGGATATTGTTGGCCAGAAAGAGATATGATAGAGAGACATTCTTGTACAACTCGGCCTTACCATCAAGTTTGCAAAGGACGACCAGTATGATCCATACCAATCAGATGGAAATCGCCGATGACTGGTTATCCACCCAGCTTGGGCTCGAGTAGTAAGACTCTAGAAGTGGAGATTGCATCGGCACAGGTCCATTGGCAATGATATTGGAAAGACTTCCATTGTAATCGGCCAATAAGGTCAAGTAGTTCATCACGTATCGAGTAAGAGGGTGCAGTCCACCACCAGGAACAGAGGATTTCGATGGATCCTTCTGAATTGCTGATTCGAAGTTTGATGGCCAGTTTACTAAGAGGTTTGTTTGGTAAACTCAGTTTTGGTCCAAATGTGGCTGTTGTCTACTGTGATAGTCAGAGTGCTATTCATTTGACTAAGGATCAAATGTATCATGAGAGGACGAAACACATTGATGTGGGATGCCATTTTATCTGTGATGTTGTAAAACAATGAAATATCATTGTGAAGAAGATTGGTATTATAGATAACCTAGCTGATATGTTAACAAAGCCTCTTCTTGTGGCTAAGTTCAAGCATTCCTTGGACTTGATTGGTGTTTGCAACATTTGAGTTTGCCCATTGGGGCTTTTGTTGGAGAAGGTGGAGGAAGATTACTATTTTGTGATGTTTGAGAAAATTCAAGCCAAAGTGGAGATTTGTTATGTTTGTGCCTTGAATTCTTTGTGGCGACTTGCTTCTTGAATCCGCTTTGAATTAATTTGAGAATAACCCAAAGGCAAATTTTCATAGTGATTTGTGGTGGATGAGTAGGCCTAGCCCCCACCACAAATCACCATTGGGGGTGGGGGGTGTAGCCCCTACGGCGGTATGGACCCGATCCATATTCATCTTATAGGTCCAAACCGAATACAAAGAGTTATGTATTTTCAGGGGTTTTCTCTCTTGTATTTAGAATTTTAGTCTTGTGAGAGACGAGCGAGACATTGGGTGTATTTGGGGCTTAGGGTTTTTTTATTTTTTTGTGAGGGCATAACTCTATATTTCTTTTCCATTGCCAACTTTATAGTGGATTTTTTGTTCCTTATTCGCCTATGGACGTAGGCTATAAGCCTTACCATGTAAATTTGTATGTGTTCTTTGCACTTGTTTCTCTTTATCTCTACTTTTACTTTTAGGTTGGGTGCCATTCGAATATGTTTTCTTGGGTTTTTCACAACATTCTCCATCCATTTCTCTATCATACAGGCTCGTCGAATACTCGCCCTATTTTCTTGTAAGAAGATGCTTCCTCTAACGTTGTTGTCTGTTGTGATGTGAAGGGTAATTTTGATATTATAAAATATTTAATTGACAAAATATTAATGAATGGACCTAAATGTCTATTTTTGAAAGTTTAGGGTACCTAAGCGTTGTATTCGAAAGTTAAGGGTACCTAAGTGTTACTACCTCCAAAGTACATGGTACTTATTTGTGTGTATATATATATATATATTATATCTTTTTGAAGGGCTACACAAGTGGGCCCCCACCCCCACCAATCTAGGTAAAGATGGGATAGCTCATCCCCCAATCCATAAACCCCCAATCCAGGTGAAGACGGAATTTGATCCCAAGTCTCCACTACGGTCAACAAGAGACTTGGAATGACAACGGGGCGGGGATCATATTCCCCATCCTTGACCCCCGATTTTGAAATTAACTCCCATCCCGGCTCTGATCCCCACCGGGGATAAAATTTGTCCTCCATCCCCGACCCTTAATGGGGATGGGTTCCTTGTAGGGACCCAAATCCCCGAAATGTTTTTAGATAACAATATATTTTTTTGAAAAATAAATTTATTTAAAATAAATAAAAAATTATATTTATATATAATATAAATAATATAATAATATATATTTAATATAAATAACATTTAATATATATAATCGGGGTTGGGGTGGGGTGAGGACCTCAATCCCCATCCTCGACCCTGATCGGGGATTAATCACCGTCCCTATCCCTGCCTTGCCAAAACAATCCCCATCCCCAACCCCCATCAGGTTGGAGAATTCGGGTCTCCATCGAGGATGAAAAAAATTGGCATCCTTACAAGAGACCTTAAAAGTGGACCCTTTTGAGTTTCTAAAGGGTTTCTATCTGGTTGTCTTCTTGATGCACCTACGACTCTTGTCTTCATGAGAGCTCAGTTGGGATTTCATTTCCTTTGGACTCCGGATTTAAACTCTCTTGTTATGTTTGCTTTCATTTGGATGATTTTTTATTTAATCGGAAGTTTTCTACTTGTTGAGCCGTTCTATCCACTTTTTTTTTTTTTTTTTTTGTGGGGGGGGGGGGGGCGGCGGTGTAGTGATGTGGTTATTAAGTGGTCAGGTTCATGTTGAGACTGGTGCAAGTTATTAGCTAGTTTTGGAATCTGTTATTTTTGTTCGCAGAAATTGCTTAGTTTTATTTGTTTATTTACTCATTGCTATTGGGTGCTGTTTGGCCTAACTTTTGTTGGTTTTTGTATTCTCAATGCAAAACTGTAAAGGTTGTTTGAATGGGCTTTGCCCTGATTGAAGCAAAACTCATGTTTGATGGGCTAGCCTTAGGTTGGTGTTTTATTAATATGAGTTTTAGTTGTAAAATACTTTTGATGAGGGGGTAATTTGGTCCTTCAATGATATCGTGACATGTGGCATTGTAGAACAACAAAGTGACACCTTAGTACCATGTAAGCAGACTACATCGAACACTTCAGCGACCTTGGCACCACCCTGGTAGGCCGAACTGCGAACAGCTTGGAAGAACCTCAAGTTGGTGTAAGAGGTGACCTGCTTCCACCAATCCAACCTCACTCTGGTTAGCGACTTGCCTGGTGTGCCGAGTGACCTCCCCCTTAAGCAGACTATCGCCTCCGAAGTCCCTAGGATCATGACGCCGCATTGGAAGAGCTGGTTATCACCCCGCCCACTTCAGGTGGGATTGGATAAGCATTACCTGCTTGCATGAAGTCATCTCCAGGCTTGAAACCACCTCCAAACCAGATAAGTTAGAGATCCCAGACGCGTTTCATGAGACTCACAGCAACCCACCTATATAAGGGCCTCACCTCCAACCATATAAGGTATGCACAATTTAGCACTCAAGCTCTCTAACTCTTTCTTGCTTCCTAGCTCTCAGAAAAAACTCTAGTTCGCCAGCTTAAGCATGGAGTGCCCACACTAGGTAAAGTAGCCTAGGTACTCTGATCTTCTCTTTTTCTTAGCAGCTTGACCAAGTGACCTACTTAGTTCGGTGTCTGAACCGTCCTATAGCAAGGAGCTATCAGATCGTGCACCATCAGTTTTTATTATAAATAAAATATTTTTCTTCTATGGTTACATTACATATGAGTCTTGATTTGATGTTAGAACCGAATGATGAAATGATCTATTCCTCCCTCCTATTTAGTTTTTGCGGATGATTTCTAGACTTAGGTGGCGTTTGATAAATTTGAAATTTCAGATTTGAAAAGTTAAAAAGATATTGTCTAAAATTTGAAAAGAAGCATATGTGTTTTTTTACTTTTTAGAGGCTCTAAATCTATAAGTTTGTTTGTGTTGGATCAACCCTTTACATCTAAAATTTATTGATTTTACTATTTTACCCCTAGAACATACTATTTGGAAATGTTGAACTCAATTTGCATTATCTCATAAAAAATAATTTTCAACCTCAAAATAATATTGAAACAATACAAATAAAAAATAAAAAATTAATAATTAATAATTAAAAATTACTAATTAATAAATGAAACGATTAAAATTAAAAACAATTAGTGACTATAAAAATGTTAAAATAATTAATAATTACTAATTAATAACTTACACAAATAAAAATTAAAATAATTTTTAAAAAATTATGAAATAGTTAAAAATTACTATTTAATAAAAATAATTAATAATTAATAAATAACACAAGGAAAATTAATAAAAAATAATTAGTTTAATAAAAATATTAAAATAATTAATAATTAATAATTAGTAAAATTAATTTGTAATTATTATTATTATTATTATTATTATTATTATTATTATTATTATTATTATTATTATTACTCAACAAATTGTCGTTGCTGCAAGTTGCAGCGTCGGTGGCGGGAAGACAGGGAGAGAGAGAGAGAGTGTGAGTGAGTGAGAGAGAACTGCCACTGCAACTTGTAGTGGCGGTGGCGGGAAGACATTTGAGAGAGAGAGAGCCACAGGTTGCAGTGGTGGTGGCGTGAAGATAAGAGAGAGAGAGAGAGAGAGAGAGAGAGAGAGAGAGAACCACTACTGCTTGTTCAGGTTGCAGAGAGGGTTCGAAGAGAGCTTGATGGCGGTGGAACTTGTTCAGGTCGCAAATAGGGTTCAATTAAGGATACTAATGTCTTTTACACACCTCTGAATTACATMTGAGCGCATTAAGAACCTGCCCCACTTCTTGCAAATTAAGATCTAAAATTAAATTTCAGATCTAATAATAAGAGGGCATATCAAACACTACCTTCATATCGGTATAATATCTAAGTTGTTGTGTATGGTCCTCAGGTTTGATAATGGTACTTTGTTACATGTTAAGTTTGTTTACTTTTGATATATTTACCAATGGGATACTTTCGGGATCAATATCTGAGGTATGTTAAAGCAAATGATGTTGGGATGGTGAAGAGTTGTGATAGGATATAACATGAATATATTGAAAATGACTTTTCTTAATTTAAGAATAACTTATTTATATGCATAAACTCCAAATCTATGTGCGAGGGACTTATGGTATCAGATTGAAATATCCAAAAAATACATGAAGGGCATTCTTGATATTTTCTGTAAACATGAAAGTTATAGAAGAATACCCTTTCAAGGGATGTAAAGTTGAATATCCACTGATGTGATACTAGGACGGAAATACATCCCGTCCTATCAATATCTAAGGTCATTGACATGAGAACTTAGCTCAATGAAAGGGCATTCTTAATGTTTTGATTGAAATACATCGAGTGAACCACATTAAAAAATAGTTTGATGGGAAAGTCTATTTCTTAGCTCAATGGAAGTATATTTGAGTTGTCGCCTGGACTCTTGATTTTTCAAAGAAAATAGGGCTGTTCATGGGTCGGGTTAGGTCGGTTTACTGAGGTTTTTTCAATCGATCTGACCTGTTCGGATTATCTGAACTTGAAACCGAAACCGACCCAGTATTAAACAAAACCGACCTAGTCGGTTTGAATTAGGTTTGGTCAATTTGGGTCGGTTTTGACTCTAAATTCAACCATGCTTGACAGAAATTCAACTGTACTATATATATATGGGGACTGTGGCACCACAGTATGTGAGGTAATGAACGCGGAAAAAGCATTGTTTTTGATAAATAAGATATACCTCTAGTCCACGCTTTTGAATCTGTCATTTGAGATAAACTGCACAACACATTATTGCTTTTTTAAAATCATGTGAGAAATGAAAACACCATATCCACAAATCTATTGTGTTGTGTCTAAAGTACAACTGTCAATGGGTTGGGTCTATCCGATAGAACTGAATCGATCAAAATACTGGTTTTGGTTATGAATACCGTGTCCCCAGTCAGATCGGGACTGGTTCTTGCTGTTGAGAGCTGATTAAGGCCTTAATCGATTATAATGGTTAATGATATATAAATGTCTATTTTTTTTTATTATATTTTATACCTGAAAGGGTA